GCAGTCTGTAATCCTTTCGATTACATCACTAAAATGGGCTTAGAAGGAAATGGCAATCAGTTCCAGTACCCTCACCCAAACCCCTCCCTAAGGAGTAAGTCAGAAGAGTTGAACACAACTGTAAGAGCTCAACAACAAAAAAAGGTGAAATCAATATTGCTGTCAAATATGTGGACCCTTATGTTTTATGAACATTGGTAAGTTGTTTAACTCCCTCTTGCCTCAATTTTACTTTCTATAAAATGGAGAGAGTACTTGTTCTATTCTAACTTTTAAGGTTATTATGAGGAAAGTACATTTTAAGCTTTAAAGTGCTAAATAAATCTGAGCTGTTATGATGCTCAGAATAATGTATCCTCCACGTCCATGGAAAACTGATAAAAAAAAAAGGCTGCTATATACACAACCCTTGAAATCTACTTGCTTGTTTGTACATTGATTACAGATTCACTATTCTCACAACTGGGAATGATCATCTATCATTTCTTTACCAAATAATGACATTCTGCTAGGTTTACCTTAAGTCCTTTTTTATTCACTGAAGCCCCAGTGGTCCTGGGCTTTGATAGAACTCATATGGTCTTACATCCATTTGATGTGCACTGCCTTTACTTTTTAGTTAATTATCAACTTATACATATCTTATTTCCAGAAGGATTCTATAAGCTCCATGTATTACTCTTCATTTAAATCCTCCACTCTTTCTAGCTTAACATCATATTCTTAGTTGGCTTTCAAAAATTGTCACTGATTGATAAATACAAATGCCCCATTACTGCTGGAAACATAATGAAAATAAATAAAAATCAAATACATGCTATGATCATGGTGGGACACTGATTCTGACACTGTAAAAAGAGGTTAGATAGTACATTGTCTTTCTGTGGTTCTCAATTAGTCAAACTATCTCAATATTGGTGAATTTGTTAAGCAGTTATTAATAAATGAGAATTCCACTTTATTAGAGAAGTGGAAATCAAGAGACAGAGTAAAGCTGGAGATGTGGCATCAAAAAGATACTTAGCAATAAAGATATTAACAATCAGTGGCAAAGAATTAGAAATTGTGGGAATGCCCATCAACTGTGGAATGGCTGAACAAGTTTTACAATATTAATGTAATGGAATACTATCGTGTATAAAAAATGATAAGCAAGGAAATTTCAGAAAAACCTGGAAAGATTTGCATGAACTGATGCTGGGTGAAGTGAGCAGAACCAGGAGAATATGGTACAAATTAGCAGTAACATTGTGAAACAATTAGTTATGAGTGACTTAACTCTTCTCAGCAATACAATGACCCAAGACAATTCCAAAAGACTCACAATAGAAAATGCTATCCACAACTAGAGAAAGAAGTGTGGAGTCTGAATTCACATTGAAGTATACTATTTTCACTTTAAAAAAGTTTTTGTGTGGTTTTTCCATTTTGTTCTGTTTCTTCTTTCAAAAGATCACTAATGTGAAAACTTTTACCATGATTGCACATGTATAACCTATTTCAAATTGCTGCCTTGGTGAGGGGTGAGGGAGAAAAATTTGGAATTCAAAATCTTATAAAAATGAATGTTGGAACATGGAAAATAAATAAATAAGTGATTAGAAAGGAAATTAATAATTAAGAAAACAAGCAAATTTTATTTTAAAAAGACCCCAAAACATGATTATATCAGTAGATAAAGAAAAGCCCTTGACCATATGTGATACTCATTTTGGTCATAAAACAGCAAGCTTAAAGGAGATATGCATTGAAAGGTCATTTTTTCATATTTTAACATCCACATACATAAAGCTACAACTTAAGATTATTTTTAGGGGATAAATACTAAAACTTTCCTAAAATTCGATAACTAAAACAACAATGTTTATTATTACTTAAGTAATTTTAATTATTCCACCAATACACATAAGAAAAGATGAACAAAATTAAAGGTTGAACATTGGCAAAGAGAACATGACATTATTCTCATTTTCAGATTTCATTGTGGCTCACTTAAACAATCTCAGAGCATCAGGCAGGAAACTAATTCAGATATTGCCTTCATTAAAACTATAGTTTACTAAATGAATCCACAAAAAATCATTATAATTTCTACTATAATTACAAAAATCAGGAGGAAATAAGAGCAGGAAATTCACTCAAAATCTTTCTAAAATGCTAAAAAAAACCTTGAAATCTAACTACAAAAACGTAGTCTAGACTTATGTAAATATAATTGTAGCCTTGTCTATGTCAACTGAGGAAAAGTAAAGTAGAGCCAAGAAAACAATATACACACTAACCATAACAATGAAAACAAAAGAACAATGACACCAAAATTCAAAAGTAAACATGACAAAAGCATAAAGATCAAATGTGACTTGTATGAAGAAATATGGAAAATGCTCCCAAGCTACCTCTCAGTAGATGTAGGAAGTCCACAGATGTTAGACATTGCACATGTTGCTCGACTTTTTCAACATATTGATCAGTTGTATGAAAATTTTTTTTCACTCCAAAAAATACAATTTGGCATATGAGATGGCTTCGGGGGAGTGGTAAATTTAGTTATAGTTGGGATCCCGTGGTGATGTAGGAGACAGGAAATATCAATAAAATTATAAAAAAATTTCAAAAAACAATTAAACTCAAAAATAAAAATCCTGAAAATCAAAGGCAAGTTTAAAAAATTTGAAAGTTCAAAAGTTCAATTAACAAGTAAAACTAAAAATTGTTTTTTAACTCAATGGATTTTAAAAAGAAAGAAGAAAACTAAATTGCATGTATCAAAAGTGAAAAAAGTAACTTCACAAATAATGCAGGGGAAAAAAACCATTTATAATGGCTTATTTCAGCCAAGTATATGACAATACAACTTAAAATCTAAATGAAATAGAAGAATATTTTAAAAACATGAGCGTCCTAATTAACAGAAGAGGAAATAAAGAATTCATCTTAGAAAAAGAAATTGAACAAGTCTAAAATGAATTCCTTAAGGAAAAAAAAACTGTGCTGAACTAGATGGATTTACAACAAAATTCAACCAAAAAATTCAAAAACATTTATTTTTGTAAATAAAGTTGTTCACTCCCAGGGCAGTGTGAATGGAAGAAAAAGATAAAGAGCAATTATTCCATATACTGTATACACTGTTTGAAAAATAGTAGAGATCTTACCAAATTCCTTCTCTGATGCAAATATTGTCTTGATACTTTCATCAGAGAGAGTCAAAACAGGGAAAGAAAACTATAGGCCAATTTTCCTCATGAATAATGATGAAAAACTTTTAAAGAAAATGCTATCAAAGAGATAATACATAATAATAATGATACATTATAAGTCAGTTGGAATTATGTCAGGAATGCAGAATAGGTGCCATATTAGAAAAAGTATAAAACTAATTGACAATAGTTATAATAAAGCCAACCAAAAGCATTTTTAAAATAAGACCTTGAATATGCACAAAACTCTCAATCAATACATACTTAACCAATAGACTGGGATTCTTTACTATTGGATATGCTAATATATTAAAAAAATTACATGCCCCAATTGCATATAATGAGGCTGTAAATCTAAGGGTTCCAATGACATGTCAACCAAGCCAAAGTGTTTTGTTAACATTACCAGAACCCCCAAAATAGCATTAGAAACTTCCTTTCTACAGATCTGTAGGTTGTTATATGTGCAAAAGAATTAAGAGGTGCTGAATTCCTTGACTATTGAAAAGCCATTGTGTAGTTAAAGAATGCCATTTTTTTCAAAATTCACATTCATTCCTGTTTTCCTCTTTCATGACCCTTATTTTTACCTATTCCATCCTCTCCTAAACTCAGACTGAAGAACAGTAATGCTGATAATCTCTCATGGGCTTCACATATGATACTAGTAGTATTTGTCTAAATAGGTGTTTATTCTTTGGATCTTCTCCAGTACTGTAGGTAGATATGTATTTTAAAACATTTCATGAAAATTTCATTTTTATAACAAGAGACAAAAAATTCAAATACTCTAAGCATTTGTTTATACATTAAGATAGCATCCCAACCACAAAGTAGGGTGCCCATAACTCACTGTTGTTCATGAAAAATAAAAGGCAAGAAAATTTAAAAAAAGAGAAAATATCAGCTGTCCAATTGAATTCTTGGCTTTCCTCTTTACATCATGTCATTTCAATAATTTATTTAAACATTCATAGCATACTCATTTTCTGCACAACAATAAGAAAATGTTTTGTCACATTAACACTGTGATACGATAAATATTAAAAAAAATTAAAACCCATCTGTCAACCAACATTCTTCTTCGTCGTGCATCATCATTTTTTACAGTTACTTAAATTAAATACACAAAGGTTTGTAACTGATTCACAGAAGTAGCAATCACAGATTGCAGAAATATGTACCACTGAAGGAAAAATTGCATCTTAATAATTTTATAATCCAATGTTTTCTTTGTATCTCTATCATTTACAGGCTTCTTTAAGTCTTGTTTTTTATTTTTTCTGTACAAATACATATTTTTGCTTCCTTCATTCTTGATGAGATTTTTCTGCAGTGACCTTACATGCGTACATAGCCACTTGTTGACCAATGTTTCCCATTGTTATGCCACCAGCAAAAAATAATGTACGTGGCAACCAAGAATGAACATAAAGAAAATCTGGAGATGTACATCTGAAGCTGGGTCACAGCATGGTGCCACCATGCTGAAGAAAAGATGTTTGCAATCACATCAGATGGAAAGAGTGTGATATTTCTCTGAATCTGAAGTAGGTTTAATGCTAATGCAAGAAACGTTCCAATCAAAAACATAACTATGCCACAAATCACCAAGTTCATACTCTGACTAGTGACAAAAGAAATGTATGACCCACACTTTGGGGGCACAGATGATGCTATCTCTCTCTCTGCCTTAGTTTCACATGTTCAATAACTTCTAAAAATCACAGTAGAGAGCCATATCCAAAACTGTGTGTTTCTTTCTTCATTTCAAGTTTGTCACCTCTTCGTCAGGAGATTTTTGATATGCAGGAATGGGATCAGTTTTACAGTGACGTGTTAGGGAGACCCACTATATTATGTGAAACTATGGGAAAAGCTGAGATGTGGCTGATTCGAACATACTGGGATTTTGAATTTCCTCGTCCATACTTGCCAAATTTTGAGTTTGTTGGAGGACTCCACTGTAAGCCTGCCAAGCCTCTTCCTGAGGAAATGGAAAAATTTGTCCACAACTCTGGGGAACATGGTATTGTGGTATTTTCTCTTGGGTCAATGGTCAAAAACCTGATTGCTTCAGCTCTTGCCCAGATTCCACAGAAGGTTGTATGGCGATACAAAGGAAAGACACTGGCCACCTTAGGTCCAAATACCAGAACCTATGACTGGATTCCCCAGAATGGTCTTCTGGGTTACCCCAAAACCAAGGCTTTTATCACTCATGGTGGAACCAATGGAATCTATGAAGCTATCTATCATGGAGTTCACATGATAGGTGTGCCCATGTTTGCTGATCAGCCTGATAACATCACTCACCTGAAAGCTTAAGGGGGCAGCTGTTGAAGTGAACTTTCATGACATGACGACTGCAGACAAGCTTAATGCTTTGAAGACAGTCATCAACAACCCTTCATACAAAGAGAATGATATGAGATTATCAAGAATTCACCATGACCAACCTGTGAAACCGTAGACCGAGCTGTCTTCTGGATAGAGTTTGTGATGCGTTACAAAGGTGCTAAGCACCTTAGACCTGCTGCCCCTTACCTGGTACCAGTACCATTCCTTGGATGTGATTGGCTTCCTACTTGCCTGTGTGGCAACTGTTGTCTTCATAGTCGCCAAAAGCTGCTTGTTTTGCTTCCGGAAGTTGGGTAAAAAAGGAAAGAAACAAAAGAGGGCATAATTTCTTCTGATACCTAAGGATGGAGGACAGAAGAGGTGAAGAAGGAGCCTGAAAGATCTCCACCTTAGTATAATTTAGTCTAGCTGCTATGAGATCTGAAACAAACTCCTCCTTTTCCCAATTCAACAATATTTATATAATTATTATTATGTGCAAAAACATTGTAGATAAGTCCTGAAAGAGATGAAAAGATAAATAAGATAGTCCTTGTCCTTGATGAGTTTGTAACCAATTTAGAAAGGTAAGACATGTACACAAATAATCAGAGTAGTGATCATAATACAATAAGAGATGTACCAAAAGAAGTACCTTAAGAGTTTCTTACTTTCATTCTCTAGTTTGTGATATTAAAGATTTTCCCAGGAAGATTAGGAAAATAACGTTGAGGTACAAGAGAAAAAAAACCAGTGGTACCTGTTAAAAAAAAAGACTGCTAAAAGATTTCTTCCACATTTCATCTTGACTAGTAATACCTAAATTTAGAGCAAAGTAAACTGTGTTGTCTTATAAGAACAAGAATCACACAGAATGCTTTTCTTTTCTCAGGAAGAGAGATTGTCTCCAATACGCTAATAGGAAAAGTGGGGATATCTTAGAGTAGAGGAAACTATAAAGGAATACAGGAGGAAAAATTATTGCTCACTAGTAGTATAAAGCAAAATAGTAACAAAATAAAAATCTTATGAGTACTATGCGTTTATTTTTTAAAAAATCATTTGTATTGATCAATTCTTAGAACATAATCAAAGTAATAAAGCCCCATGGGGAAGCACTGAATTTAGTTCTCTAGAAATTAAGCCATTACTGTCCTATCTAAACAAGAGTACTAGGGTTTAGTGCTCTGTAAACCCTGCTTCTTAAAAATAACGAGGTCTGCTAAAATTCTAGTTTAATCTTGAAAATGTTAGTAGCTAAGTTAAATCTTTTAAATTTCTTCTAATTTTAAAAAAGTTAAAGATGAACATGGTCCAAGGCATTCTACCTCATGGCAGATTTCTAAACATCATTCAGATCATACCTGACCTGGACTATTTTTTTGAGTCTTAAGCTTCCTACTTAACGGACAGATGTGTACATAATGCTCCTTAAAGAGCCAACAATGTGCTAATTATGTTAATTAAGCATTATGTGTTTGTAAGTCTTGGGACAAAAGTATATATACTGCTGTTGGAATTCTTACCATTGTAATATCTATGTCTACCTAGTAGGAGTTTAAGGCCTACACAGGACACATTTTCAGAGGACAAGTGCCCTCTACTGGCTTGGTTAAAAACTGTGAATTCCTACATAACTTTGAAGTTCATTTTTCAACAGCATACTTACAATTCATATGATTGTGGCACTGTTAATGTTACTTCTTGAACTTGCCTGAAAATAGCAATATATGACTACAAATCCTTTGTATGTTGATTTTAGGCTAATATGCAAATAAGCACTGCAAATTCCTTTCCCAAAGATTTTTAAATTTAAAAAAAAATCACAGTAGATAATAGACTTTTCATCAGTGCTTCATCTTGTCCCAAATTAGAATCTACCAAAAATCCCCAGCTTCCACTATCTTTCCAGGATGCCCCCCCAACATCACCACCAGCCACCACTCCCCACCCACCTCAAGTCTATCATGATTATTATTTGGTGTTAATACTTTTGTTTTCCTAGCCTTGAAAGTTTATGCATGAAAAAAGTTGATGGATCCAACTGAATTCTTTTCTTTTTTCTTTTCTTTCTTTTTTTTTTTTGGCAATTGGGGTTAAGTGACTTGCCCATGGTCACACAGCTAGTAAGTGTCAAGTGTTTTGTCTGAGGCCAGATTTGAACTCAGGTCCTCCTGACTTCAGGACTGGTGCTCTATCCATTGCACCATCTAGCTGTCCCCAACTCAATTCTTTTAAGTATATAAAAGATAGAAAGTTTTATAATCATTTTGAGATTTCATAACAGTGTATTTTAGAGACCAAGGAATAATTCAAATTTTATTATTCAGCTTTTTGATAGCTATATATTGTTATCACATTATTTAAATACAGAAGCTGTTTACAAAATACAATTATTCCTATTGAAAACATTAGAAATCATAAACAGAAACAGATCTTTCCTTAAAAAGATAAGTAAAATATACCTAACACAAAGACCAAGGATTATCTGTCATGGACACCAGCTAGCAAACTTTCTAATAAGATGAGGAGAGAAGCAAGAATATACTTTACCACCAATGCCATTCAATATTATATCAGAATTGCTAGCTTGAGCAATAAGACAAGGGGCAGAAATTAAAGAGTAAGCATAGACAAACAGGAATCACATCATTACTTTTTGCTGATGATATGATGGTTTACTTACAGAACCCTAGAGAGTCAACTAAAAATGGATTGAAACCATTAACAACTTAGGTACAGATCAGATACACAATATATAATAGCAAATGATGACAATAACCTCATGAGTTATAAACTCAAAGATTCCAGATATTGAGACAAGACCTCAATATTTCAAAACTACTGGAAAAATTGGAAAGTAGTCTGGAAGACACTAGGTATGGACCAAAATGTGCTACTATATATCAAGATAAGCCCCAAATTGGAACATGATTTCAATATAAATAGTAATATGCCAAGGAAATTATTGGAGCATGGAAAAATGTATCTGTCAGATCTATGGTTAAGGGAAGAATCCATGACCAAACAAGAGATAAAGAGTTTCTCAGGCGGTAAAATGAATAAGTTTGAATATATAAAAATGAAAAAGTTTTGCAGAAACAAAATTAATGCTGCTAAAATTAGAAGAAAAGCAGGAGACTGAAAAAATATCTTTGCAGTAAGTTTAAGGGAGATCTCATTTCTAAAATATATAAAAAACTAAGTCAAATTTATAAGAATAAGAATAAATCCCTAATTGATAAGTGGTCAAGGTATAAAAACAGGTAGTTTTCTGAGGAAGAAATCAAACTATCAGGAGTCATGTGAAAATGCTCAAAACCACTAATAATTGAAGAAATGCAGATTAAAACCATCCTGAGACACTGTACACAGTAAAGGCAATATTGTAATGATGATCAACTGTGAAAGAGTTAGCTGCTCTAACCAAGATAATTATCCAAGATAGTTCCAAAGGACCTATTATGAAAAGTGCTCTCAACTTCCAAAGTGAGAATCAATGAACTCTGGGTGCAGACTGAAGCATACTTTGAAGCATAAACTGTCATTATGGGGGAGGCGGAGTAAAAGCAGTGACTTGCTTCAGCTCTCCCCCAAACTCCTCCAAATAACTGTAAAACATGGCTCTAAACAAATTCTAGAGCAGCAGAACCCACAAAAAGACAGAGCGAAACAAATTTCCAGCTCAAGACAACCTGGATGGTTGATTGGAAAAGTCTCTTGTGCCAGGCTGGAAGAGGAGCGCAGGTCAGCCTGGGCGCGCAAAGACCTCAGCGAACCTGGAGCAGTCCTCAGGAGACTGAATCACGGGCAGCTGCGGTGGGCTTTCAGACTTCTCAACCCACAAACACCAAAGACAACTTAGCAGGTCAGTAGGAAAGGTTTATCGACCTAGGTGAGAAGGTGAGAGAGCAGCTGGGTGCAGGAGCAGTCCTGGGGCAGCTCCAGGACGGGGGCTGCTTCCTGAGCTCTCAGTTCGCAGAGGAAGGGAAATTAAACAGCTGATCAGAGGGGGATTACAAGGATCTCTTTGCTGGCGCTGATGCAGGATTCTCTTGCTTTGCCTGTGCTTGGCTCTGGGTTTCAGTTCTGGGTGGCAGTCTTGGGGTGAGGAGGAGCACTGGAGGGGTGGAGCTTATAGGGGTGGTGGAGCTTGTGATGGTGATGGAGAGAGAATCGTCCTTACAGTTCCAAGGCAGAAAAGAGTGCTTGTGGTCAATGATAGACTAAAGTCCAGGCTAGGAAAGGAGTAAACACCTCGCCTTTAATCATATCGCCTTGGAAGAACAAAATTTACGGGTCTCTAGAAGTGTCTCTGAAAACAGCTGCAAAAAACCATCAAAGATAAACTGTCATTATGGTATTTGCTTTTTATTGCTTTCTTTCTTACCACTTGGCCAATATGGAAATATGTTTTGAAAGACTTCATATCAATAATTGATATATTATTTGCCTATAATTATAAGAGCAAGGAAGATAAAGAGAGGAAAGAGAAATTGGGACTCAAATCTTTAAAAAAGTTAAAATTGTATAAAAAATGTAATTGGGGGACAGCTAGGTGGCGCAGTGGATAGAGCCCCGGCCCTGAAGTAAGGAGTACCTAAGTTCAAATCCAGCCTCAGACCAAACACTTGACACTTACTAGCTGTGTGACCCCGGGCAAGTCACTTAACCCCAATTGCCTAAAAACAAAAACAAATGTAATTGGGAAATATTTACCAAAATAAATAAAATATGCTTAAAAATAACACCATTCCGAGGAACTCACAAGCATGGGTTGGCTGAGATGCCCAACCCCCCCCCTCCCCCCGGAAAGGGATATGGAGGGGAATATGGTAAAATAATAAACTATTGACATAGCTGAGAATTAGTCCAAGCATTCAAGAATGCAACTTGGAATATCCCCCCAAAGCCATTAAATTGTGCATTCCCTTTGACCCAGCAGTATTAGTACCAGGTGTACACCCCAAAGAGATCCAAGAAATAGTAAAAGGACCCATACATACAAAAACATTTATAACAGTTTTTTTGTGGTGGCAAAAAAATTTGAAACTGATGGAATACTATTGTGCTGTAAGAAATGATAAAAGAAATAGGTTCAGAAAAACCTGAGAAGACATATATGAATAGTTGCAAAATAAAGTGAGCAGAATCAGGACAACAGTTTATACAGTAGTAGCATTAAAGATAATTAACTGTAAAAGACTCAGTAATTTGAATCAACCCAATGACCTACCTCAATTCCAAAGGACTCATTACAGAAAATGTTATTCACCTCCAGAGAGAGAAGTGGTCAACTTAGAATACAGATTAAAGCATTCTCTCTCTCTCTCTCTCTCTCTCTCTGGCACATAGCTATTGCAGTAATTTCT